GCAGAAATAAAATTCCATATGGTTTTTAGCTATTGCTGCTTGACTAAATGTGTGCTCAAATGGTGCTCATTTTTGTGTCCAGGGACCCTTGAAATTTTGACATTTCCTGGGGGAGGCCCCCCAGACCCCCGCCATGTGTTTCCGCGCCCAACGGCGCCCACTGTGGGGGGGGATGTACGTGCCCTTAAAATCTGGAAAAATACTGTCTAGCTTCAGCCCTGGATCCGCCCCTGAACACTATCTATAGATAGTGTTTATCTATAGGCCTTGTCCTGAGTGTACGAAGGTGCCCTTACTGATCTCTATTATACTAATAAATAATATAATGAATAGATAGTAGTGGGTGCACTGCATCAGTGCATGCAGTTTGCTCGCGCACCTCACGGTAGTATGACGCATGATCACGTGACGCGTGATGTCACAGTTGTGAATCATAGGCGCTCACTTGTTCGTGGCGGTCGTGTCATTTATTTTCCGTCCCAGTTTGTCAACAGTTGTTGTCGCATAAGAAGCTGAACGCCTCTACTCTACCTTGATCGTTTCAACTCTTCATTTGTGAGTAATTTATATTAAGAATTATTAGCGCGCAAAAATATATGCATGCGTGAAACGCAAGATATGATATTCGTTACCGGTCAGCCTTTCATTGCACTGTATGCAGTTTGATAACAACAACAACAGGCCAGCTGTGTCAATGAATCGGTACATGTTTGACAATCTAAGCAGGTAATTTTAGGTTTGTCACCTTTGTTACCTGCGTCATTTTTAACACGTTTTATGATTTGATAGTGCCGAAGCAACGAATCTGCATGGGTGTAATTTGTGATATCGTTCAGGAAGAGGAAGTCGTGACGCAGCGTCGGCGGCGGATCCAGCCATGGGTACGCACTCTCGAGGCTTGTTCGGGTCGTCACGAGGGGACGAGGCACCACTGCTGAGTGCCCGGCTGATGCGATCGCTGAGCGGGACCGGCGGCGATGGCAAGCCGAATCGCAGCGAGCGATCTCTCAACGCATTCAACGGCGTGTTCTGTCCCGTCGTGCTGTCCATGTTTAGCGTGCTGCTCTTCTTGCGTATAGGTGAGTGTGTAGCGGGTAGAACACGCATGAAGCGACGCGTGTTTATCACAAGTAAACCGCGTCAACTCACGACACCGTGTAGTTACGGCGACATCTGTTACGAGGTCATGCCGTAACGTGCGCCATGCCGTCACGCGAGTCACTACGTCAAGAAGCCAGCGGGCCGTTGTCAGAAACATCGTAAAGTTAATGCTAATGTTAATGCTAAGATAACACTTACGACTAATGTTAATGTACGAGAGGAGCGTTGACAGAAACACATCGCAACTAAAAGAAAACTTACGATAACAGGAACTTCATCACAAGGTTGCTGATTGGATGAGAATCGATCACAAAATTCAAATTCATACACATTTATTGTACATCACAGTAGTTTATGCATATTATGATGGCTAACCACATATAAATAATATTTGATGAAAAACGACGCGGCCATGAATTTATTCTGCACAACAAGACAAATTCTCACTGTAACACGAGACGCGAGAGTCGTAGCAAGCGTGGCAAACATTTAAAACAAGAGAACAAATGCCATACACCATTTGTAAATGTATTATTTTGTTTTACGATCGGTAGATAATTAATGATTTTGACGTGTTTTTCAAGAAAAACACACATTTTATTCATTATTATAAAATATAATATCACTACAATTGTAATTCGTAGTGTAAATGTGTTATTTTCAGAGGATATTTTTGAGGATTTTTCATTCTCGTAACGTTGCGATGTTTCTGTTAACGGTTACGAGTGGTAGTTAATGTTAAAGCCGCACTATGCGCATCCAAACGCTAATTTCTCCAGTACTAGACTAGCAAATACTTCGTGTCATGCATAATCACACTACCTTATGGCAATATAAACTCTAGTTCCTCCCATTTCACTGCGCGTTTGCTTAAAACCCACAAGAAAGAGGTGCGAAATCTGGTAATCTGCCGCCAACGCTAAATTGTTTGCCAAACAATTTCGCCAAGAATCGGTTAGGTGACGTCACATGTTTTTATCTTTGCTACACCCATACCGCTGTACCGCAGCACCGCTGCACTGTTGCTTGGGAGAACAACGCGAAACTGTCAACAACATCGGAGAATTTGAACAACATTGGAGGTATTTTCAAATGCCTTTTATAAGACTACGCGCAGTGAAATTGGAGGAACTATTGTCATTTCAGGAGTTTATTTTGTCATAAGGTAGTATGATTCTGCATGACACGAAGTATTTGCTAGTCTAGTACTGGAGAAATTAGCGTGTAGATGCGCATTGTGCGGCTTTAAGATTAATCTTAAGACTAATTTTATTTCTGACAATGGGCCCCTGCATCGCGAGCCTAACAGGCTTATAAAGGAACGACCCTACCGTACTCGAGTAGCGTGTAGAGTACCGTACTCGAGTAGAGCTTGGTCATCTCTTAGATTATCCCTTGTTTCTGTTTCCGTCCTACCCGCATCTCCAGTTGACGTGTACTACCTTTGCTATGTCTGAGAATAAACGCCCGTGTGGTATATGTTACGCATGTAGTTATTGTTTCCATCGGATGGTTTGTGTTGCATCCCCTTTCCTACTTTCCTTCGATCGCTCGAGGCGTCCGCTATCCCTACCATGTTTGATCACTTTAGACGTCCACCGACATTGCCATGTTTGATTGCCGGCGATGTCAGCCATAGTTGTCATGTCTAATTGTTGAATATGATTTTGATGTCCCGCTTGTCATCACCATGTTTGTTTTATATTAGATATGCCTCTCCTGCCGTCGCCAATTTTTTGCTAGATGTCGTCACCATGTTTGTTTTATATTAGATATGCCTCTCCTGCCGTCGCCAATTTTTTGCTAGATGTCGTCACCATGTTTGTTTTATATTAGATATGCCTCTCCTGCCGTCGCCAATTTTTTGCTAGATGTCGTCACCATGTTTGTTTTATATTAGATATGCCTCTCCTGCCGTCGCCAATTTTTTGCTAGATGTCGTCACCATGTTTGTT